TCTAGAGATGACCTAAGAGATCTTGGGTTAGTGGAGGAAGCAGAGAGTAGGGGAGAAGGATAGTGGGAGGGGTAGCCTAGGCATATCTAGGAGTTACCCAACTGGCAATAAATACCGAGGAGGGCACAGCCCAAATGCTCTGGCGCAGATAGGCGGATCGGGCGAGGAAAAGGACCAGAACGAATATACGAAGGATAGTAGGAGCTTATAGAGCTCCTAGAGATAAATTAGGGGCAGTGGTCTAGACCACTGCCCAGACGCATGTGTCTGTCATAGCCAACTGGCTCCATATGGACGTTAAACTTGATTAAATAAAAATAAAATAAAATATATCAATTATAGAGGATCTAGAGAGTAATAAAGAAAAAGAAGAATTACTACCCCAGAACACTAAAGTAGTAGATTTCAAGAGACCTATCATAGTAGTTATACTACAACAGTGAGTAGCTATATATAGATACAGTACAAGAAGTTATGATATAGACCGATAAAAGTAAATACTGGTATTGCTATATAAAACTAGCTACTAAAGGACCGATACTCTAGAATAGCCAAAAAGAAGAACTACCCAGTATTTTAACAGATATAAAATTCTACTAATAAAAACAAGATAACCAAGCAGCTATTTGGACCTTTTATAGAAGATAGCCCGGTAACTTAGACTAACTTCTATATCTTTGTCTTCTTTTATACGGTCGAACTTAGGATTCAGTAAAAATAGACAGTATGTCAAAATAATAGATATACTACCGGCCGCAGCTAGAGATATATTCAGTCCACTTCTTTTCGCGGGCAACAACTCGGTTATGTATAACCCGAAATACAGTAAATTAATCTAGAACTGAGTAAGTAATAGGTATACAGCAGAGGTAATATTATCTACCGAACCACACAAAGAATAAGAGTACTTGGTAAAGGGAGTAGAATTATCTACAAAAGGATTATCGCTAATAACCGGAGTAGCGGATACAGGAGAAGTAGTAAAACTACTCTTTAAAATAGTAAGACTATCCTTCAGATTTTTCTATATCTTGAAATCCTTGCAGTAGATAATATATACTTACTTAAGTTTCTGATAGAGTAATTGAATACTGTACTAAATCTTAGTAATATTACTAGAAATAGAGTTAATAGAATACTATAGTTTAGTTTGCACTGCCCTAAAGAGCTCTATTATCGCTATCAAACCGGTCTTACTAGTACCAGTCTTACTACTAATAATACTACCGACAGACTCTCTATCGGTAGGCGGGGAAATACTATCTCCTTTAGAAATAATCTGGGAGGGAGAAACTACTATTTTAGTATCGGAAACAATTGTAGCTTTGTCCTAAAGAATACTAGTAGTTACCGGAGTAGATATCTTATTATTACTTTCCATAAACTTAATTGCCTTATTCTCACTGACTACCAAGTATCGGAACTTCTCAAAGAATATTAACACCAAATTACCCTGGATAATAATATAACTACGAATATCAGCAAAGAACTCTGGAAGAGAAAAGTAATATATATCTTATATTTCTTAGATTAATATTATATTTTTCAGTATCCTTAAAAGTTTCTCGAAATAAATATTCGCTCCCTTTTCCGGATACTAGACAATTGTAATATACTTCTGTATACAGAGCTATACTATCTACCGAAGGAGAAATAATATATTTATTATAGAGACAGCAGTTCTTAATACACCTGCAGTAAGGTATACTCACGACAAATCCACAGTAATACAAAATATATACAGATTTGTGATTTTTATTACTAAGAGTAATAGTAGAGCTACTAGTAGTATCTATATAAATAGGACTAAGAATATATATAGTAGTTTTATCTATAGCAAATAATTTATTTAACTCTGCTTCGATTAGCAACCGAGATAACAAGTAGAAGAAGACTTACTCTGCTCCAGAGTAGAAACTATATCTTCGCAATTAGACTCTACAGAGAGAAGAGACTCCTCAGCGAGATAATCAATATCAATATAGATAAGAGATCTCGCGGGTTCTTTCCCCTTCGACTTAACAGCGGCTATAGTAGTAGGATTAAAGATATCAGAGAGATAATCACTAAGAGTCTAGTCGGGATACTTGTACACTACAGAAGAAACAAGATATCTATAATAGAAGAAGACTGGTAGATATACCAACACAGCAATATATTAACAAGAAGAAGCGAAGCAGGGAAACAAAGAAGAGGCAGTAGCAAACAGTAACAGCTAATAGTTAACTCTGACAATAGGAGCCCTAGCAACACTGCTATCAATAATAGCAGTCTACAGACAATAATAGTATCACTGTAATCTGCACCCGCGTGACACTGCCTAATAGCGCCTCCTACACACGACTTATTAAACAACACCAGATCCTGAATACTGAATCCGGTAAACACAAAGCTATTCTACTATCGAAAAATAATATTACATAATTGTACCCGCGTGCAGGAACAGCCCAATACTATCGAATCCAGGAGTATTCGATCGCTAAGTAAAGGAGGATATAATTGTAGTTACACTGAGATAACAGTACTACAGAGCTATGTAAGGGAGTCTTTCACTTTAGCTACGGCTCTAGTGACTGCACCACGGGCTTAACCCTACAGTGCTTAACTACCCTGTGTATATAAAGGACGTAGCGACCCCTACCTTTAGTAGGAGGTCGGCAACTCTCTACCTCTCATAGCATACCGCTACTTGCAATCTCACCAGTTTTGCAAGAAACTTGTCAACCTTTCTTGTGACCTGTAGCTTTCGGCTTAACCGTACATTGTAGAACCCCAAATGGAAATACGCTATGTTGAACACTGGTGACGCGTGCTGTCGTACGCTGTGGCCCTGAAACAAAATAAGTACGAAAAGTGAATCGTAAATTGAGTGATAACATAGAAGTCGAACGTGCAGTTTTGATAAGGCACCGGAAAGGTACACACGTATGTCCTAGTGTCAGCCAATTATATGCATACCGAGTTGTGAAGCCAAGTACGGCGGAGGGGCATCTGTCATAAAGACGAAGCCGCACCTACCCTACACTCAAAATAGCAATACACTTACTTTTTGCCTTCCAAAGAGACAAGTAAAAACATACAACAGCCAGGATTCGCATGTAGTCACCCACGATACTACTAACTGGCCGGCGTGTGGCTTATGTGCAGGCAATAGTCGGGTCCGTTATTTCGGGGGCAGGCGTGGGTGTTTAGGGCTTAACGCGCAGGGGGGTTGTTTCGGGATATCACAGGGAGAGGAACCATCCTGTATGAGAAGATCCTGTATGAGAAGGATATAAAACTGATTCCGAGCGCCCCTGTATCGATAGGATTCCTCTGTATCGCAAGAAAAAGGAGGATCAACTGGGGCCGATATTTGACCCTGTATCCAAAGCTACGTTATCGAGGGACTACGTTGTGGTTGATACGATTGCGATACAAAATATTGATGTGTATGCCGAGCGGGAACTAACCCCGGACCGATGGCGGACCCGCGGGAGGGCCCAAGCCCTTTCGAGAATCCAAGAGACAATGACAGCATTGACGGGAACACTTTGGCTGATACCTCCCTACCTCCCTACCAATACCTACACAGTATATCCGCTCAGCCCTACTGAACGCCCCTTCCACGCAAGACACCTAGGTCGCCGGCGTAGGGACTACCAAGACCGGTTACGTAATCCGCTTCAAGGACTCAGAGTCGGCCGAGGTGGCACACAATAACACCGAATGGCTAAGCGAACTAGGGAACGGCACGAAGCTAGTTAAATCACAATTTGGTATCGTTGTGCACCGTACCCCAACAGAAGACTTCGACCTAGGAAACGCGAACACACAGGCTATTGAGTAAATCATAGCAGAAAACAACTTGGTGGAAGGGGGCTTCCGAATCGAAGAGATAGCGTGGATGAAGAGGCAGGATAAGGTGTTAGGGAAGTTTGTGGTATCTGGTTCGATTCTGCAGAGGGAGCCGAACATGCTTAACAACAGGCTCATTGGTACATAGGCAGCGTGGAACACCGCGAGATCAAGAAGAAGAGATTCTTCCGGTGCCAACGTTTCGGACACCTAGCATACAGGAGACCTTTGGTGATGCCGTAATAAAGGTTATTCCTATATCGACTATATCTACTTCTTATAACGATGAAATAAATCACGTGGACCGAGGAGATTAGATAAGATCCTATAACGTATTTCACTACCGATTCGGCCACACCACCGAGTCGGCCACGTCACCCGTTTTGACCACGGTCGAAAAACTTGCTTAATTCAACCCCCAACCATGCCTCCAAAAGCGCCTCGAAATTCAGGAAATTCAGCTGAGAAAGAGGGAAGAATTATACTTGCTATTTCTGCTATAAAAAATTCGGAAATCTGTAATATTCGCGAAGCAGTGCGTGTATATAATGTACCTGGCTCTACTTTACAAGATCGATTACGTGGAAAGATATATCGCTCAGAAACACGTGCCAATAGTCATAAAATAACCCAAAATGAAGAGGAATCACTTGTACGATGGATTTTATCGCTTGATCGGTGTGGGGCGCCTCCCCGGCCGTCCTATATATGAGAAATGGCCAATATTCTTCTTACTACGCGCGGTGCTATGGCTTCTTAAACCACTGTGTGTATGCGTCAAGGGCACGTTTGTTGGGCCTCTTGAGCCTCGCGATCTCGCTTTGTAATAAGAGCGCCTCATCTGATCAATAGTCAGCCTTTATTAGAGATGTCAAGCGCCTGCAAACGCATGATACTCCTTCAGTTTCTCGCGTAGTCTCACAACCATGTCCATACGGACTCGTGCTTCTTGATCATAGGTATTATACCACTGCGTCAGCGTCTCCCATATCCTGATAGTATTCCTTAAGTCCATATCATTGCTGTTGGCATTATTCTTATCCAGTTTATTGAGTTCCTTCTCGAGAACAAGCAGCTCTGCCTGTAGATAAAGCAGATATCGAGCAGCGAGTTCATCGAATTTGCGATAGATAAACGTCTCATTATCTGGATCAAGTACTATCCATCTTGCGATATCAGCAAACCCCTCTTTTCGACACCTTGAAGAGGCTGAACGGCTTTCACTCGGATTTGCACTCCCATTCATAGGTCAGGGCGAGAGAGCGGCGGAAGAGGATAGGATATTTAAGACAATTTATGGTTAACTGTCGGACAGCTTCAGAGAGGGAATAAGCGGCTTTTCTAGTTAAAATAGTGCAGGCCTTTTCCTGGGAAAGACAACTATGTATAAAATCAGCGACCAGGAAAAAGCTCGGATAGAATAATATCCAACAAGAATAATTACTTGGATATTTCACGGAGTGCGTGATATAAGAATTAACACCGTCAAGCTGGTCAGACAATGGGTGCCTGACTGAGAGCCTGATATAGCAGTGCAGCACCTCTGTTGGGCGCTGTAGGCGGTACCTCATAGAGTCGGGAGGGGGATCCTATGTCAGTATAAAGACTGTGTCAAAATAAAGGCCGTGTCGAAATAGAGTTTAAATTCTTCCCTCAGCTCGAATTTCTCTTTTACCTATATCTCTTATTCAACTGAATCCAGCGCTCTCTATCTCCCAGGCAAAGATACTGAGTGTTTACTCACCCTTCGAGCAAAGCAGTAGCTCTTGAGCGTCCACGGTAAACCCTTGTAACTGAATATAATGACTGTAGCTGATTGAGATCCAAGAGCAGATTCGCTACCACGAAGACCTTAATTCGCTATATTTGCAAAGGCTGTACAGATGGCCACCGAGTCAGCAATACGCGACGACTACACTATAAAATAGATCTGCGCCCTGCCGACAGAGCAGGTAGATAATACCTCACCTTCACTACTCACTGAGTAGATGAAGGCTGTCCAATATTCAAAAGGTAGCTTGCCTGCAGACTTATACCGCCGCTGGATTCTCGACCACAACGATTCGCAGAGCCGGCAGCTCTGGATCACAGATAATTCCGGCACAGGTAAGTCGACACTACACTGTACTATCGAGGGGTAGAAGGCATCGAGAAAAGCTGTACCTTAGGGATCTATTTATAGCTCAAGGACCTCTCACCCTGAAAAGAATACCTACAAAGTTTCAGGCTTTTTCTCAGCGTCGAGACAATACTTCGTGGAGGGAGATGTGAATGGGACCTCAGTGGAAGCCCTCCCTGACAGTAGTACAGAAACGTGCTTTATATCATCAAATCTAGTCTCTAGTCTCGGTTTAGGCCCTGTTATTGGAACACAGAAGATAATACATCTCGCCAATAAGCAACACGTCCAATCTCCTAGAATGGCAGAGGTCCCATAGAGATTCGCCAGAGAACAGAAGATATATATACTGAACTGCTAGATTCTCTCAGGATACATTTATAATCTTGTTCTAGGAAACCAGTTCCTAAAGGTGATATAGACCCTTACCATGTTTAAGAACTGTATCAAATCTAAACTAGTTGAGCTGCCGTGGCAATTGCGGTTAAGTCTTCTAGATAAGAAGAAATAGCGCCTGTAGGGATCTCTTAATAGTTATCTTACTGCAGCGCTACCGGACACGGGCTCAGATATTATACTTATCTCTAGCGCATATACTCAGAGAGTCGGATTGATAATTGATCGGGGTTTCGAGAACTGGCTTGAGATCGAGTTCGCCGACGGGACTACCGACTTGACCAGTGGTGTTATACAAGATGTGTTATGGAAAGCTGGTAGAAAAATCGTTCGATACAACTTTCATGTGCTGGATAATCTCTGCGTAGATATTATCCTAAGTAAGAACTATCTGTTTAACTTTAATATATTCTCAGAGAACAGTAAATTCTTCTTCTACAGTAGCTCGGAGGAGGACCTCTTCCAGCTCTGCAATATCTGTCTTATCGGCCGGTATGGTAACACTCTAAATAACTTGGAAGAGGAGTATTTGGAAGACAGTAAGTATTGTGTACCAGAACTAGGGCCATTGTCTAATTATCGCTATAGTGACTTCCTCTGATGCCTTTGGTCCTGAAATGGTACAAAGAGAGCTAGCAAGACAAGACTAGATCTGTAATAAGATCTTCTCTTTGTCTGAGAACGAAAGGGAAGGAGCTACTCAGACTGAGACTAAGAGGCAATATCGATAGAGAGAATTGAGATAAGTATACTAAACAAGATAGAGAACTGTATTATCAATGCTACAATCAAATGGGCACGGCGATACCCATAGAACAGAGACAGAGACATATAGGGATCGAGCACAGGCCTCGGAAACCCCCCCGTCCGAGATAACTGGGGACGGTCTCCAAGGGGCTGCAACCAGGAGGGAGTTGTGGAAGAAAAAGATCAGTATAATATCCGTTTATTTAAGAGTCCTGAAAGGGAGCACGAGGGTGTAATCGGCCCTGATAAACCCTTTTCCGGTATAGGGGAAGGCAGCTGGGAGGATGGTATCTGGGACTACAAGACTCTGCCGCGGCCAGGAGCCGAGAAACACACCGGCGGCAGTATAATAGCAAGCTACAATTACGACTCAGAGCAGGACTTTATCAGCTCCAACAGTTGTCTTGTTGCAGAGCGGAAAGCGGAACGTATTAGACTTAAACGGCTCTGAGGTGGCATGTAGTGGGAGGGTAGTGCAGATAAGTCAGGAAATGATAGTCTGATAATAACAGTATACTCTACCTTCTCTCTACTTTACGTGGCTAACGGATTTTTAAGGCCGTTGAGGCACTCAGTGGCGTTGGCGCGTTGAAACCAAAACAGAGTCAACTAGACTACCCTCATTCTCAGTACAACAATAAACAGAATAGAATATATAAGAAGAAGGCTTGATCCTCTCAACTTTGAACTTCGCTAATTTAGAAGAGGTGGAAGAATGCAGTACATTCGGTTTCAGTGGGGCCCTATTTTGGAGGCAGTTACGTTTAGGGTTAATATATATTATTATTAATTTATTAATATAGATCTGAAATAGATTTTCCGATCCGATTAGATATATACTTAGCCAGTTTACTTCTATATATCTATTATTTAATTATATCATAGATTCGATATCGATAATAACTCTGTATAGTAACTAGACTTGCACACAGAACTTTATCGGATATATATTCTTTAGGGTCAACCTCATCTGCGGTAGGGTAAGGCCACGGACTAGGGGAAGGGAACTAAACTATATTTTTGACACCGCATGAAGCCAGCGAGTCTGCCACCATCTAGCTAGAATAACCCTGTATATACCTGAGTTAGTTCTCCGGCTGGCCAACTGGCCGTCGGCGACCCGAGAAGAGCCCCAAAAGGGGCTGTATTCGGGTATAATATATATCTCTCTCTCCCTCTCTCTATATACATTCTTCAAAGAGCGATCGGAACATCAAAATCAACACCCAACCTAAACACGTCATTTTAACGTGTCAATAGATCGAGACAGCCTCCCTGACATCACAGATCCGACGATGACTCTGTATGATGACTGTGTCGTATACCCTACCCGTTATACATATACAGCTCGGAGACCGAACGGCGACAACGAATCACATATCCGTTGACTTTTCAATAGCGTATAGTAGCTTCTTGTCAGTCTTATCTTATCTTGTTAGGAGAATAAGGGGCATCTTCTGGATATAAAATTAGTCTAATGTTAATGGAAGAGGGAGGCAGGAATCAGTCTTCTGTCTGCCCGATATCTACTGCTTAGCTTTCGGCCTACGTACCCTTACCTAGTTGACAGGTCTTCTACTCTGAATAGTAGATATTTCCTTGACACACTCCGATATTGCTGTTCGGCCACCGAGTTTGTCTATATACAGTGGATAGAGTATACAATACAGTTATAATACAGGGTCATTATCGGATCTGTGACAGGATCTCTCTATTTATTATCTAGATTAGATAAGTAGTGAGATTACTATAAATTGTTGAAAAGGTAATATTTATTTATTTATTTAATCAAGTTTAACGTCCATGTGGAGCCAGTTGGCTATGACAGACATGTGTCTAGGCAGTGGTCTAGACCACTGCC